ACCATTTCTTAAATATAATGTTTATAATTTAGCTAGGTTATACTTAAAAACTAACCTGTTAAAATAGCTATTTTTAAAACGTTTTGTATTTACACCAAAAACACTGAGGTAGAGAAGGAAGTGAACGCCTACTATAATAACCCCGTTTTGTTCACCTCTGCAGACGCTGGCGACCGCAAATTCTGATTGGTTAATAAACAAAAGAACAAGCTTGTTGAGTACACCAAACTGGCGATTTCAGTTAGCCTGCTTCGTGTTGTCAAACATTTTCCGGCCGAGAGGAAAATAAAGTCCATGTTCACTGTTCGTTAAAGCACGATACAGCACAAGACCACAACGGTTACAGAAAATTATCCAACTTAACTGATCACTGAGAGTTGCAACCGTTACGCTTAAACCTTCATATTTCATAGTCAATAAAAACTAGGTAAAAACATTCCACGATTTCCGTTTCTCTAACCCACAGTTACTTTATTTATTTACCTACAGAGATTTGAGAAACAACGAAATCAAAGAGCTCCCGTCAGGGATATTTTCAAATTTCTCTTCCTTGCAAAGCCTGTAAGTGAAAAAAGCCCTGTTTCATTATTTTTTATATAACTGACCTCGAAGGATCCAATCACCCCTTTTGGCACCTGCGGGTTGGGAGGAGGGGTGGGTAAGGGGGTCTACAATCGATTTATTACCTGTAGTTTGGCCTCGTTTCTCAGCTTCCGTTGTTTAAGTCTTTAAAGAATCTCTTCCAACCACAGTCCTTTGAGTGCATACAAGTCAGAAGCAACCATGTTTGGATTAACCGAAATTCAGGCACGTCTTTTCGTCTGTTTCCATCGTGCTATATCTCAGAATTCCTTCACCTTCTCTCTTACTTTTCTGATAACCTTGCTTGACTAACTATTGCTAAAATTGCTCTGCTAGAATTACTTTGCCTTGCCTGTTTGCTCGGTAACTTTTTTTAAAAGCCCAGACTGGGCTAAAGGTTTTTGCGATGTTTGCTTGCTAAGAATTTACAATAGCGCTAGCTATGCCGTTTTTAAACATCATACTTATTCCCTTGAACAGTGCAACACGTATGTGTTACGCTGATTTTGGAAGTGCTTCTTCTTCTCGATAATCCAGTCATAAAAAAATCACCAGAGTGCAAATTATGAGAGAAACTTGCCACGCCCAAGAATTAACGATGACTCGTAAAAGCTTGGGTTTGTTCTGGAAAGGCGTGGCCTTAAACAATTTAAAACTCTTACTGCTTAAGACCTTCATGGGTGAAGAATTTAGAACAATACAGTAGACCGTTTCTTGATACGATCCTCCCCATAGGCAATATCTTCCGGTTCCAGCGTCAGCACTCACTTTAACGTTGAGATTCATTTCGTCACCTTTATCAAGAAAGAAAAGATGGCTTGAATTTTTCACTCCCAGTTTTATCAAGGTAGCGATGCCTTGTCCAGCATATAGCGCCCTCTTCCTACTTCAGGTCGTAAGGATAAAGAAAGCCGCGTTAGAGTTTTTTCCGTTCAGATGAGTTAAACATTTTTTAAAGCAAAAAAAAGAGATTTCTTTCTAAAAGAAATAAATGGTTTTATGCTGAATGTGACTGATCAATATTGTATTTCTCCAGCTACCAGCAAAGGAGGGTTTTCCTGTCATCCGGGTGATTTGTCACGAAAGTGTCATTCATGTCACGGGTCATGTAACTCAGGAAAGCGAGGCACAAGGCCTCCTTCCATGCGTTACAAGACAATCAGAAACACTCGTTCCTTGCTCTGGGCTGTGGCGGTTGTGCCCTCACCTTTGCTGGGATAATGTTCTTCTGTATCTGGTTTTCCCAGCTTTATATGCTTTTATTTGATAAACGGCCACTCCTGTAGCCAAAATATCCCATAATGGGTTTGTGATTACTTTGTGTCCCAGCAAACAGAGCTCACCTAAAGCTAGATTTCGCCAACATTAATAACTGACTTAATATGTAATGGAAAGTGAAGCATAAATACTCATTTCGAAAGAAAAGACTCTTAAAAGGCGAGGAAGTCTCAAGATCCATGAAGGCTTATATGTGAGACTTCCTCTTTGCATTAGACTTAGTTGTTATTATAGGTTTTTCTTAAATCTTTAAGCAATAGAAAACGTTTTCCGTGTTTGCATAGCTTGATATGAACACGAGAGGGTTTGAGAGAATTCGAGACAGTTATGCTACTGTACCCTAGTGCTACCAGTGCTACCCGTCCACCGAGCTCTCGTTGGTATTGGCCCTGTTTACCAAAAGAAATTTCTAAGTTTCAAGGAGAGTGGTCCCTACAATTTAAGATCTAATGCCAGCTGCGAATTAAAGGTCCCCAAAACAAAGTGCGAGACCCATGGCGACAGGGCCTTTTCGCACTTGTTGGCCCCTCACTGTGGAACACTCTCTCTAAAGCTATCCGGAGTATCCAATGTTCAGGGTTTCAAGCAGGCTCTAAACACCTTTTGATTTCGTTTGGCATTCGAGAAAAGAAGCTATACTGACGCCTCGATTGCTGTAGTCAATGGCTGCATAGTCTGTATTCTGGTTGCTTGTGATTTATATTCTTCATGTCGGATAGACAATCCGCAGTTATCTATCGGCGAGTGACTCGGCGAGTGGCTTCGCAATCATGGAGATACAAAACGCTTGTCTTCTTCCGTAGCTGGTCAATGTACTTTAGTTCTATGTATTTTCATGTGTTTTTCGTTAAACTTTCAAACAAGCTCTTGTGGCCTTTTTATTTGTTTGTTATTTTCCCGATGAAATTGCATTTTCTAGTGTTCTAAGAAATGAATTAAAACGATTTGCTTCGGGCACCATTCTATCCGGAAAAAATCTCAGCTAGCTTCCAATTTTAAACTGACGCGTACACCGACCATATATGGAGAGCATGGTATAATGGCTCACATACCATAATGGCTAAGCCAATCAAAACGCTAGAATTGCATTATCAAATGATCATGATTCAGTTTTCAATAATAAAATATATGATATTATATGAACTTTGGCCATATATTTCTGAAAAAACATCATTGCTACCCGAACTGTCCTCACCGTTAGATTAACTGAAATGTGACTGATGTATGCGATAAGTTTGCTGCTTGAAGAAAATTTAGGGACTGCACATTTATGCACAATACATAAGGAAGTTCTCCTTTCACGCTTTCTTTTGCTGGTTTTTGTCGATAAAACTTGCCGCACAGCCTTATCCTGTCGCTTTCCTAAAACACTGTCATTAGCGGGAATGCTACGGATAACCGTTCTCTTCAGAAATTTTAAATTGACGTTTACTCTTAGAATATGTATCTGACGCAACCCTTTTCTGTAAATTACTAGCATTAGATTTGTAATTTTTTAAGTCCCCTAGTTTACATCTTTTGTTTAATGCACCAAACATTCCAGCAAGTGGTGGTCTTTTGTTTGTCTTTGCACCACCATCGATCAGTGCCGTAGCACGGTTCTTCTTTTCAATGCAACTTTTAGACGCTGGTTAGACTTGCCATTACAAAGTACAGTTGCCTTTTTTTTCTCTTTTCAGAAAATTGTTGCAATGAAACATTAATGAACGAAATCAACTTAGACTAGCAGTAATGTTGTCTGGCTATCCATATCAATTAATTCAGTTTTCATTCTTCGAAAAAAAAAAAACTTTGTTGGTTTGTCTCAACCATGCCAATGAATTTTTTTGCACAATTCGTGCCCCAAATCAGGGCAGCTGGCGACGGTCAATTTGACAACTCTTAGCAACTTCAAGTTATTAGCAGGAGTTCCTTGTGCTTTCCATCTACGACGTTAGGTGTTTTTCATGCCCAAAATCTTTCCGTGCAGAGCATGATAAGCAAATACCGGTTGAGGCTGAGTATGATAATAATAAATATAACAATAATAATTTATTATAATTTATAAGCTATTCATCGGATAAAAATACATCAGATGTTACACTGAAAAGTTAAGATTCAAGCGCAAAAATACTGTTGTATCCAAGTAAAGATAAATAAATAAATAAATAAAAATTCTGAAATCTCTATTCAAACGTTGATACAAGTAAATTAAGGTAAACAGTTCTAAAATATAACGTTTATAATTTAGCTAGGTTATAGCTATTTTTAAAACGTTTTGTATTTACACCACCTGTTATAATGGATGTATTTCTAAATCGCTTCTGATGAGATCTTATACCTGGAGAGGAGATAATTAACTGGATGGTCGCAGTAATAACAATTATAAGATAGCATTAACACACTCAAAATTAAGTTACAACTACATCGATTTCTCCATACTTAAGTCACCTTAACAGCACTTTTTTCGCCTCTTCAGTTTTTCACGAAGTGTTGACAAAACACTACAATGTACAAGAAACTATTCATGTTCTTAAATCAAATGATTATTAGTGTCAAGTGTTATTATAAAGAGTGACAGCATATTTTATTACAAAGTGCGACGATTATTACGAAGTGCGACAGAACAAGGTGAAAGTTTCTGAAATTTGGAATCAGTAAGCATCCAGCCCGCCGAGATCAGAGGCGAGAGTACTGACTTCCTACATGACTATCGGGAGTTTTCTATCACTTTGATAGAAAGGGGATACATTACCAAACTGCTATCGAAGACCGATCATCCGCCCTTACCAACTAACTCAACATCGCTGAAAGAAGAACACGTTCAATGGAGCAGCATCTTGCAAGAGACCCTCAAAAAGTGAAAATGTATAGTGACATTATCATTGAACAGGAGAAACGGGTCTTCATAGAAAGAGTGATACACCCCGAAACCACTGTAGGTACCTGCCACTATCTCCCACACCATGCCTTGTTTAAGGAATCTGCAAACCACCACAATACGCGTCTTGCAAGACTGCAGCTGTCGACAATCCTAAGAACACCCTAGCCTTAATGACAGTCTGTTACCAGGACCACCTATTCTTAATGACTTAACTGCTCTCCTACCCCGATTCCCCCGCCGTACGTTTGGTTTTGCAACTGATACTGAGAAGGCTTTCTTAAACATCAGTCTTGGTGAACAAGACAGGGATGCTACACGCTTCTTCTGATTGAGTTACCTCAGTGACCCGAACAGCCCCTTCCAAGTTTACCGCTCCAAGGTTATCTCCAACCATTGACCATAGATAACCAACAGGTCTATCAGCACCATTTCCAGGCTCACCTACGTCAAACACTACGTCCTGCGGTTTGTGCTCAATACCAGAAAGCAGAACAAGAACAAAGGAGCTCTGACAACACATTCAAGAACTGGCTCATGCCCAGAGAGAATGGATCAAGAATCGTCAGCAAGTGAGTTACCACAAGGAGATCTCCAGTATGCTCTCCAAATCTACGCCTAGAAAACCACTAGTTCGACAGCTACTCCTCTTTTTAGATGATACTGGTGTTATCCGTTTCGGCAAGAGGGTTCACAATGTGCTAGTTTCCAAATCTACCAAGTTCTTACTCCTCAGACATCAGTGCCACGCATGTTAATCAATTATATGCTTGTTCGAATTTCACACTGAATCTCGTACGTCTGAGATATTGGATTCCTGCTGGACGCCAGCGTGTCAAGAAAGCCGATCAATCACGGCGTCACTTACAAGACGATTATAGGATTGCCGTACAACATCCTGACCCATCTCTTCTTCCAAAGAAAAGACTCACTCAAGCAGAACTATTTACAGTCTCTGACGTAGACTTTACGAGAGCTTTAAACACCCGCAAAGCTGTAGCCGAAAAGAAAGATTACATCTGCTTCTTTACACGTGCTACAACAAGAGTAGTCTACCTTGTAGTCGTTACAGATTTTTCGGTACAAACCTTCGTTCTCGCGTATAGAGGATTTGCTGCCCGAAGGTCTGTCCCCCAACAAACGATATCTGATAATGCTTCTACGTACCTGTTAGCTGCTGAAGAGGTAACCTCACTGTTTCCATCGCAGATATTAAAAGCGTCACTGAGCAAACAGGGTGTAGATTGGCGCTTCATACCGAAAAGAACACCTTAGCATGGAGGATTCTGGGAAAGGTTAATAAGTGTCACCATTCAGGGCTTTTCAGGGATAATTTACAACACTGGTTGGAAGACTTTGCCAGACTGCTTAAGGTGCAGTTTACAAGTAATGAAGGAGTGAGTAATGATGCCCCCATACATGAGTATGAAAGTGAGATAGACCACTACACCGGGCACTACGTGCCCTACTTTTTACGAAGAAGAGAAGAGTCCCACAGATTATTACATGTACAAGGGCTAGTGAGACGGGAACTACAGTTTATCGTCCTTATCCGAGAAGACTAGAAAGTCTAACCGTTTGCAGACGTTATTACAAGGGCAGCAATTTCTCCTCAGTTATTTAAAGACCCTGAGTCTTGGTCCGGCCGGGGTTTGAACCTACGGCCTCCCGCTCAGCAGACCGGCGCCTATGCCATTGAGCTAACCGGGCGGCGGTAGCTTCAGATAAGAACGTCCTTGGACGATCACTTATAACTTTTAACACCCTGCGCACCATTGTTATTTAAATTGAAGCTATCCTGAATGACAGACCACTGACACATGTTTCCTCCAACGCACACGATGAAGAACCGCTCACTTAACCCCATCTTCTACAAAGAAGAAGGATCACAACACATTCCCCACATTAGAGTTGAAGAAGATGAGATTACACTCAGAATGGAGATGCTTCAAGAGAATTTCAAAACGCTTTGCTCTTCTCTTACAACACTTTTAAGCTAATAATAATATGAAAAGTTTAATGAATATTTAGCTGAGTTCTTTCTTGTTGCTTTTCCGTATGTAAGGATTTCCGGTCAACGGTCATGATTTCATATATGACGACACGAACTTGTGCATGTAATTTTACTGAGAGTTTTTTAGTCGTCGTTTTTGCTGACCGTTTGTAAATTTTTTCCTCTTTTCAAAAAGTTTATTTATAATTGTTCCTCAGAAAAACATTGCAATTATTCTCCTCAAAACAAGATTATTACATCTCTGGTTAAAAATATTTAAAAATTACTGAATTCGGCTTTCGTATCATCTGAAGAATTATGGTGTTATCCGCCAAGGACGTAGGCTGAGGCGGATAACACCCTCTGAGATCTCCATAATTTTTCAGATGATACGAAAGCCGAATTCAATAATTGTTTTATTATTAATTCAAATTTATTCCTAGTTTAAAAACAAGCTAAAACGTGCTTAACTCCGTCGGCGTTAAGTTCATCTCGATAGTGTGCATGTTTATCGGGAAGTTTAGGAGATAAAGGGCTGTTCAGGTCTACAAATATACTCCAAATAGCGGGTGTCGTCGAGTTGTCTTCTTGTTGTTCTTGCTATGTTTTTAGACAATAGTTCGTCGTGAAACGAGTAAAATGTTCCGCCCTTTTGTACTCACTACGAAAACAACTCAAACTCGTCCCCAGGTCTTCTTAGTTAACGGTTCAATAATCTGTCAATTCTGTAGCACGATTGACGTCATTACATTAGCAGGTGAAACAACAACACCGTCATTTTTTATTGTTATTTTATTTCCATGTTGACAAAACTTTCCCTTAATCCGACATGTTTTTGAGCGTTAGCAAGACATTTCATGAAGCGTAAAGATTACACAAAATTTAGTCGGATGTAAGATAGAAGGCATGCACAGTTTGGTATTCTGTGGTTAAGAACATTACCCTCTTTCATAATTTACCCTTGTCATGGTAAATATGCGTTAGTGAATGTTAGCCATGTTCTGTTCAATCTTTAAGTCCAGGCCCCTAGCAGGCATAAAATGACTTGGGGGAGGGAGGGAGCTGAGCGAGTGGCCCACATTAACTCCCCCCCCCCTTCCGCTTCGGTCCCTCGGTTAAAGCATACTTGTTTGTACATGTCAGATCACTACATTTGTCTACAATACCTCTTGTTCTTGTCTATAATTTTCCGTTTATGTTGACTTTGACGAAATAGAGAACTTGTTTGGGATATCGTTCGCGGAAAATTTGCCAAACAATTGCTTTCGGTTTTCTTTCTCCCCAACGAAGTCATTAGCTACGTCTAAAAGGATCGGAGCATCTGTTCTGTCCTTGTGAACATGCAACATCATGAAGTGGTTCAGGTGGGATTGTCATTGGTGCATTTCGATCCATTTTGCTTCTGACTATTTTGATGCTTAATAAGCAGATATTTTAAAGCTGTTGGTTGTTTTTGGCAGAGCAAAAATACGATTTCGTTCATTTACACAATTCCAAATTGCACAGAAGAACAATAGTACATAATCTTGTATCTTTTTAATCCCTTTGCAATTTTATAGCTTTTCTTGTTTTTATAATATATATCTAGTTTTGAGGTCCTTTTTGAAAACCATATCTTTTATGAAAAAGTTTCCTCAATAAAGATGATTATTATTATTATTATCTTACTATGATCGACAATACTTTGAAACTTTAACTTCCATTGACAGCTGTCCATTTTAGTAGAAAAATTTCTCTTTTGTAGCAGAATTTAATTCAAGCCTGAAAATTTCTGGGGGGGAGGGGGGGGGCTCGAGCTTCCCCTGCCCCTCCCCCTGCTACCGGCGCGTCCACTTATCATTTTGGTCTTTCGGATAAGAAATAACGACCAAGGAAGCTAATTGTTTAAGAAAAATTCAGAAATGTTTGGTATTCTGGAAATTGCCCTCTTCAATAAAATATCGTTGTCGTGGCAAGATAAAAGGATGGAAGTTTTTATTACCCCTTGATCACTGGTATTGCAATTCGCGTTTCAGTTTCGTTGCAGTAATTTTGCATGGGTTCTTATTTTAAATCTTCGTTCTTTTTTGGAAGATTTTGTTTTCTCGACAACCTATCTGACCGATGTTCCACAGTACGATACGTGTATTTGGAAAGACATATGATCAAACGCCCCACAACGATCTATAGATTCTGTCCTGTTTGTAACTCTGGTATAAGTGAAGACGAATTTCATTTTCTCTTGCATTGTCTGAAGTATTCAATCCCAAGGGAAAAATTCTACAATCAAATCCAACACAATGTTGTTGATTCTAATCAGCTGTCTTCCACGGAATTATTAATTAAATTGGTGAATTCACAGAATTTTTCTCCAAATTCACATTTGTTAAAATTTGTCTCATTATGTAATGATTTACGTAATAATATCATAGGTGACGAATTACTCCTTAATTTTGGCGCGAAATTTCAGCGTTAATTTGTAATTTCACATGTGAAATTACAAAATTGCCATGGCAGCCCTTCCGTACGTCTCAGTGTCAAAATGGCGACGAAGTTTTAAAATGCCGTGAATAAAGATGTCAGGGCACAAAAAGACGCTTTAGAAAACCTGAACACGCAAGAGAACATATCAAGAAGGATTCTAACAGGTATTTTGTCGAAAAGGTCTGAAAAAATTCTGAACTTTATAAGCCAAATTTAAGGTCTAAACATTTGAGAGAGTGGAGTTCTCGATCGATACGATCCAGGATAAACATGTCAAAAATCCGAGACTGCTAACGTAATTCGTCACCCATGATATTAATAGGTAATCAAATGGTATACTCGTGAAATTAGGGAATAATTTCATTTGCATTTTGTCCAAATTCTAATAATTTCCCTCGCCTAAAGGCTCGGGAAATTATAAGGATTTGGACAAAGGGCGTGAAATTATTCCCTAATTTCACTCGTCACCATTTGATTACACATACTAATTTGTTATCAAATCATACTTTTTGCTGATGACACTTGATTGACCATTGTTATCATAGCATTGTTACATTAGTATTAATTGTAACTTTGTCTTAAAGCTTGTAATACTGTATCTTCATAGTCATGCAAATAAAGCTTAAATTGTTGTTGTTGTTGGCATCAGGCGTTTTTCTGACGCAAATTTGTGTATGAATCATGCATTCGTGTCATGAAGAATGTTAAAATAACCTATTCTTGTAGGTACCTGCAGGAGAACAAAATTGAAGAGCTTCCGCCTGGGATTTTTTAACTTTTTAGGAGTCATGGGTCTTGTTTCAAGTTCCCTCAAAAAACTGAAGATCTTAACTGTGTGCTCAATGCCCTCAGCTCTTGGTCTACTGACTCTCACCTAGCACTTAACCGCACCAAGACCAAGGCAGTGGTTCTGTCCACCAGTATCCCGTTCTAGGCGTTCATATAGTAAAGAGCGGCGGTCACCGGGGAGTGAATTAAACTGTACATCGGGAAAACGGGGGGACGGGTGGGGGCAAGAGCGAGGGAACGCTTTTAAACATTCTTAAGAAAGGGTTGTTCCGGTATACTGGATTCCAGTATACCCTCTTATTGGTCGATTATGACACCTTCTGTTAACAGTCTAGCACTGGTGACATGGAATGAGATATAGAGGGGGAGAGACCTGTGTTATCGAATCACACGGACATCGAAGCTACTAAAAACAATGCAATCGAGCATTTCCTGTATGCGGAATCTTTTCGTGATGAGCAGAAGATTTGCTTGAATCTCGTTCGCCGAGGCCAGGACGTTTTTGGGATTCTTCCAACGCGCTCCGGCCGGGAGACCTTAATTTTTTAACTCTTTCCACGAATAATGAACGTACTCAATTGGCGTGTCACTTTCCGGGATCATCATCAGTGCGCCTCGTATCATGAAATACCAAGTTCAAGCGATTTGCAATAACAGCAGCAACAGCCACAGGTTGGAGGCAGGAGGAAGGTATGGATGAAGACACGGCAGTGTGGAAGGAAGGTGTGAGACCACTTATGGAAGCTTAGAAAAGCAAAAATAATATCTTGTTTGAAAGGTTGTTTAGTCGCAATAAAAAGATTAATGCTTTGACAGAGGTCAAAGAAGATGAGTACTTAAAAGAGGGAGTCTGCGTTTCGGGTCGGAAAATCAATTTCCTTTAAACTTTGCCCATGAATATATCTTAGTCCCAAAGTAATTGAAACCGCATAAGTTTTTGAAAATATTTCAAAATAAGTTTTTTCGGAACGAAAATCACTTCAGCGCGCGGCGGCCAAATTTTTGCAGTGA